ATTCTAATATGGTTTTTAGTTTGTGGTCTGTTTTTTCTAGGTGGGCAATCTTAACATAACATGAATAATAATGGACTTATTCCTAACCTCTGTGCCTTTTTTAATCACACTGGTTAAGCCTTTCAGAACAATACTGAATACCAGAGGCAAGTGCAGGCATACTTACCTTATTCCTGAACTTAAGATAAAGTAATTCCAGTGCCATGCTTTTTAATTTAATGTGTTTGTTTCTCATGATAGTTTTTCTCAAACTAATAAAGTTTCTTTTTAGTTCTAGTTTAAGAGTTTCATCAAAAAATGCTGAATTTTATTTAATGACCTTTTCTTCATCTATGAAAATAGTTACTCCCTGACTCAAGCAACTCATTAATAAATTCCTAATGTTAAACCATCCTTATATTCCTGGGAGTAAAAAGGCCTTCTGGTATTTTCTCTTAATATAATGCTTTATTTCGTTTGCTATCGTTTTATTTAGTGAGAACAGACTACAAGTTTTTATGCAATTCGTGTCCAGATCTAGTAATTGTCTGAGCCTTTAAAGAGAACCTAAAGGTTTTGTTATCTTTCTGCTCTGCAACAGTTCACATAACGCAAAAGTTCAAGCTTTCTCAAGTATGATAGAACTCACTTACCGAACCTCTAGGCCTGGTGCCTCTCTGATTAGATCTCTGATCACCTCTGCCTTCCCCAGCTTTTAGTCTAACCAGTATTCTCCCTAAGATAATTACTACCTGTCTGAGAGTCAGGGAAGTGTGGCAGTGCTTTGTAGTTGAGATTGTCAGGGCCTACCTATATCCTGCTTCAGCCGCTTCCTTGTAGACCTGCACTTCTGTTCTCTCAGACTGATTTCTTGGGTGTTCAGAACAATCTGCTATTTATCTAGCTGTGTTTGAGGGACGATGCAAGCTTAGGGTCCCACTACTCCTCCACCATCTTAACTCTACCCCCTCTGCCTCAGCCACTTCCAGCTGTGTTTTTGGTAGATTACTCTCCAGGTTTTAATTCCTTTATCTGTAAAATGGGGCACATAACAGTACCTACTGATTAAAACTGTTGTGAAGATTATGAGCAAATACACACAAAGCACTCAGAACTGCGCCTGGCCCACTCGAAGTTTCAATAAATACTAGTTATTACTTAGGATATTTTTCAAATTAATTAGAATAAAGCTACCCACAACAATCTTTACTTCAAAAATATCCTCTGAAGGGGTGCCTGGATGGCTCAGTCATTGGGCATCTGCCTTCAGCTCGGGTCATGATCCCAGGGTCCTGGGATTGAGCCCCACATCGGGCTCCCTGCTCAGTGGGAAGCCTGTTTCTCCCTCTCCCCCTCCCCCTGCTTGTGTTCCCTCTCTTGTTGAGTCTTTCTCTGTCAAATAAATAAATAAAACCTTTAAAAATTAGTAAAAATAAATAAATAAAAATATCTTCTGAATATTATTGAAAATGATTAATATTGTCCGTTTATATTTTCTTTTTTCCTTGACCAGACTTGCCAGATGTTGATCAATTTCACTGGCTTTTTCTTTTTTTTTAAAGATTTTATTTACTTATTTGTTCGAGAGAGAGAGAGAGCGTGGGAGCACAGGCAGACAGAGTGGCAAGCAGAGGCAGAGGGAGAAGCAGGCTCCCTGCCGAGCAAGGAGCCCGATGTGGGACTCGATCCCAGGACCCTGAGATCATGACCTGAGCCGAAGGCAGAGGCTTTAACCCACTGAGCCACCCAGGCGTCCCTCACTGGCTTTTTCAAAGAACTAGTTGGTTTCATTTATCCTACCTCATCTCTAAAATTTCTTCATTCATCAATTTCATTCCTTTCCTACTTTCTTGAAATGAATACTGAGTTCATTTGTTTCCAGACTCTGTTAATGTCTATTAAATACGTTTGCCTCTGCATAATACCTGCCTATATCCCATAGGGTTTGATATGAACTGTTCTCATCTTTCTACATTTCTAAATAATCTGCAATTTCAATTCTGATTTCCTCTTTAATCCAACAGTTTTATGGTTCTAGTGATCTGAAGTCAGACGATCTAACCTATATAATTTCTACTTTTTTGGAACTTGTTAGATTTTCTTTATGACCTCTTACATCATAATTCTATTAATATTCCATTAGCATCTATACAGAAAAATATATTTTTGTACTTGTATGTGTAAGCTATAAAATCATGCTGTATTATTTGAATTCTTTAGAGCCTTATTTAACAGCTTTTGCTATGAACATTTCAATGCTAAATGCATGGTACAAAAAGGTTCATGGTCGTCAAATCCACTTAAAGGATATTAGATTCTATCAATATCAATTAACATTCTTGTCTCATCAAACCACTCCTCGACCCCCCTGAATTCCATTTCATCTCGTGTTAGGTGCTATTCCTTGCGTCTGTCATCAATCTGGCATATATCTTTGTTTTTCCGACATTTTTATCACTTGCCTTAAACAGTAGAGCAAGATTTTTATGTTAACTCAATCTGGAAGCTTCCATCTTTTAATAAAGGAAGTGATGGCACTTCACAAGCATCATAATCTATTCAAATCTAAATTTTGCTGATTTTTTTAACATAAAAATTAGTTTGCCTTATGTTTACAAAGTACAGCAAAATTGGTAGGTAGGTGGCAAAAAACATTTTGCTAATTCTAAAGGAATTCTGTCTAAATATAGTTAACTGCAATATGTAATAAAACCCCACCAATACTGACAAAATAACAGGAGCATTTTGCAGGGATGTCTGGAAGTTTCAGTTGTTACATTCTAGCTGATAGTAATGACAAATTTCTAATACTGAGAAGCTGGTATGATTTGAAAGAAACAGTTTTAAAGGCACAGATATATAAGAGATGCAAAGAGACAAAGACGACATGTAAGTGAGGAGCCTGTGAGGCTGAAATATAGAGAAGCTACTAAAAATAAGAAAAAAAAATCAGTTACCACATTTACAGAAAAAGCCATTAAGTTTCTATGTCCTGTATATACAGTTCTATTTCGATAAACTTGAGTTGCACCTTTAAAACGGATGTGCACTTATTATCTTCGTTTATTATCTCCCCAAGAGCTATCAACTGAAATGATATTATAGTTTACAATCAACTATGTCAGAGAAATGAAGAAATATGAAAGACAATGTATTTATAAAAGGGCCCCTAATTTTTTAACAAGATTCAAAATAAAAGTTATCATTTCAAAGAGCGAAGTAGAGAAGTAGAATGAAAGAACGCCTAGCTCTGGGGGCCCCTGGGTGGCTTTCAGTCAGTCAAGTTTCTGCCTTCAGCTCGGGTCATGGTCCTAGGGTCTTGCCATCGAGCCCCACATCGGGCTCCCTTTTTGGCAGGGGGTCTGCTTTTCCCTTTGCCCCTGCTCATGCTCTCTCTCTTGCTCACTCTCCCTCAAATAAATAATAAAATCTTAAGGAAAAAAAAAAAAGAATGCCTAGCTCTGAACACAGGTTAAGACTTAGCAGATATATCAGTGCAAAACAAATACATTTTTTTATTGAAATATCTGCTCTCTTACCAATCTCTACTGAATCAGCTCTAAAAGAGACTGAGTAATGCAGCCTGTACAATAAGAATCTGTGGCTACCAGGCTCTTCTCTATGAAATCCACACATCTTTGCTGCAGAGTTAAATGCTTATAAAGAGTCAGCTGTGTCCATTCCCAAACCTGTTTATTACAATTGTATTTATTTCTGTAATTACATGAATTAAGTACTATATAAGCAGATGATATATGAGCAGAAATAGAAAAGACAGTTTTTGGTGCTGTGAAAACTAAACTGAATGCTTCAGAAAAACTGAAAGGCAAGCTACTAAAAAAAAAAAGTCTGTTCCACTTCATTGCGGTTAGAGGAAAAATCTGTAGAAATACAGAAATATTCTGCATTTAGATTTCTTAGAAATTTAAGTTCTTTGTTCCACTGTGAGGAAACCAAAACTAAAAAACTTTGATAATGTGTTAGTGACAGCAGGGTTATGCAAAAGTAATGGGGAGAAACAGATACCTACTGAAAGAAAAAAACCATCTAGGGTACAGCAAAAGATTGATGAATAAGTATAAATTTATACTGAGTGTTTTTAAGAAGTAATTTCTAGCTTTAGTACTTAAAATTTTTTTTTCTTTGTTTTTTAAAGCAGGCTCAATGCCCAGCATGGAGCCCAGTGTAGGGCTTGAACTCATGACCCCGAGATCAAGACCTCCGCTTAGATCAAGAGTCCAAGGATTAACCCACTGAGCCACCCTAGCTTTAGCTCTTTTTAAATTAACCGATAATTACCACCAGTCAACACTGGCTAACAGGCTTTCTTTTAATGTAAATTGGAAAACAGTAATTATTATTTCCTGGCAACCTTAAAGCCTGATGTATGTTTTCTTTAAAATTTAATTTTACACAGTTAAGAGATAAAGAGAAAATCTTAGAAGAAATCAGAGAAAACAGAAGGCCAGACAAGGATGATGGCTAACTGCTTATCAGAAACAATGAAAGACAAAAGACAAGGAATTATATCAACAAAGGAAAGGGGGGGGGGGGGTGGGAGGGTCTATACTCAGTGAAAATATGCTTCCGAAATGAACAAAAATTTTCCATTTTCGAATAAAGGTGAATTAGTCTCCAGCAGATCTGTACCTAACTCTTCCTCAAAAAGGCATTTTAGAATGCAGATAAATGAGTGTAACACTAGTATAGGCATAAACTCTAACCTGATCTAATTGTAGTATTATTTAATTAAAAAGAAATAATTTGTAAATTCTAGTCATTTATTGTTAGTTATAAAATATCGCTGACCAGCCTCACAACTGCCATGACACAGGGGCATGTCCCCACCATATGTGGGTGGCTGCTGATATGTAACCTGACATTGCAGTGAAGGAAGCACTGCTCATTCATTCTTCAATTAGCAATAATCAGCAATAATCGCGCCTCAGATAAACCTCATTGTCTACGATACTGCCACTGTGCAAAGCTACTGCTCATTCATTAGGAGAAAACTTACTTACCTCTTTGTTTTGGAAAAATCTGTTCAGGATGCTGTAAAATAAATTACAGTGCATTAATTACTATAACATATTATAAACCTAAGTGAAATTTTAAAAATATTAATGAAGAGAATTACCTTCATTACTGGCCTGGCTTGCTTCTCAAACAAACCACTCGGAAAAAGATAAGCAATAGCTCTCTGAAAATATACACAAAGGTTAATTAACAACTGTTATAAACACAAGTTAACGTTATGACTAATACTTTCTGAGTGCTTAGTACATGCCAGAGATCTCATAATCTTTTAAACAGGAGAAAAAAAATGACCACATACGCATCCCCCAGAGAAAAATTATTTGTCACTATTAAACTGGTTATTAACAATTTTCAAGTGTCAGTTTCAAACATGCATGTGCTCCCACGAATCCCTCTTTTATTTATTATTTTTTTCAAGATTTTTATTAATTTATTTGTCAGAGAGAGAGCGAGCGAGCGAGCACAAGCAGGCAGAGGCAGAGAGAGAGAAGCAGGCTCCCCGCCAAGCAAGGAGCCTGATGCGGGGCTCGATCCCAGGACCCTGGGATCATGACCCAAGCCGAAGGCAGTGGCTTAAGGGACTGAGCCACCCAGGAGTCTCCAAATCCCTCTTTCAAAAGCAAACGAGAGGTGCCCCTCTACAACCTCTCTGGTAATGTGCTCAGGATCCCCGCTTCGGACTCCCCGTTGGCAGTGCGAATATCAGAGACCGAATACTGAGAAGAGCAGGCTTCAAGCCTCACCCACCGTGACAGCCCCAGTGTTTTTAGATGTTCTCTGAACTCTTCCTAGGAAGTTTTGAGAGGTTTTTATACTACATTTTCCCAACCAGGTTCTCTGAAATGTCTCTCTCTCAATGGGGACGCTATTGGCATTCTGAGTGTGACAGCTCAATTGTAGGCAGCCTTGCCCTTCCCTGTCCTGTAGGTCACTTAACAGTCCTGGCCCTTCTCCACCATCTCTGCTGGTAATAACCCTAGCACCTGTGACAAATCTTGCCTGCACACATTTCCAAAAGCCCTCCACCTCCCAAGACTGCCACCAACTTGAGAACAACTGTGTAAGCCATGCCAGTGTCTTCGCCAACACCACCCCTCACAATCAAAAGCAAACCACACGCGTTTTCCTTTCTCTCGAATGGTGTCAGATGGAAAGTCTGTGGCCTTGGATCTTATTAGCACTGCATCTGAACTCTAACTGAACTGGCAGCTCACGTAGACACAGCGCTGCTCTGTTAGAGAAGCTGCTCTCAGGATGGGCCTCTGTGCCCTCCCACGCAGTCAGTGTGCTAAGACCGGATTCTACCCCTGAAAGTCAGGGGTCTGTAACCTGGGGCTTATCAATTCAGTTATCTTAGGGAGCCCATCTGTGTCTCTGAGTCAAGCTTCATTCTCCCATTTGGCCTTCTGGCAGTAAAATGGACACTTAAGAAACCCTTCGATCACACAGCAGAGTGCTAATTTTGTGAACATTTTTTTTTCTTTTTTAAAGCCAGGGACAACTCTGCCTTTCCTTCTCTGAGGGAGAAAAGGTGGACTTTTTAATAAGTGATGTTGAGACAACTGATTGCCATTTGGAAAAAGATAAATGTGGACGCAAACCCGAGGATATATAAGGATATACATATACAAGGATAAGCCACAGATGGGTCAGACGGCTGAACACAGAAAATCAAACAAGTATGAGGAGAAAACATGGCGAATTCCTCTATATAAGCTATACCTCCACAGGCAAAACCAACACCATCACAGGTTATTCGCGGATTTACAACCACAAAATATTAGAACCCTCTCCCCCAAGGTTGGCTGCATAAATGATGGCATGTCCATGCCACCAAGCACTCTAGCCATAAAAAAAGATTGATAAAAGCTAGACACAAGGGAAATGTGCTTAGAATGTGACCTTTGGTGTAAGAAAAAGAAATAAGAAAATACATAAAATACATATAGGAATAGGGGACAATATACATAGGTTTCTTTCCACAAGGAATGGTACAGTGTAAACAAATAAAAATGATCATTTATTAAGGGGTAGGTGGCAGCAGGGTGAAGGCTACGGGGATGACTAAGGCTTTCCTGGGGATGCCTTTATTCAGCTGAACTTTGAAGCACGAATATGCTGTATATATTAAAGACCAACCTTTTCAAAAGAAACTCTAAAACAATATAAACAAAATAAACCTCCTTTCTTTCTTTTTTTAAGATTTTATTTATTTGACAGAGAGAGAGAGAGAGAGAGACAGCAAGAGACGGAACACAAGCAGGGGGAATGGGAAGAGGGAGAAGCAGGCTCCCCACTGAGTAGGGAGCCCAATGTGAGGCTGGATCCCAGGACCCCAGGATCATGAGCTGAGCTGAAGGCAGAGGCTTAACAACTGAGCCACCCAGATGTCCTATACAAACCTAATTTCTAATGACAAAAACAACAACAACAACAAAACACCACAACAGCAAAGAATTCTTTAACTTTACTCGGAAGGCTTATTGTTAGTAATGTTAATATTAAAATTCTGAAACATTTTGTGTCTGTTATAGCATAAAGTAAATAAAGGTATCAATTTTATGGTGACCAAGATGTTACTCAGGAGAGAAGATACAAACATAAAAGAAATGTAATGTTAAGCTTGAATTAGACAAACCAAAACATACTTGGGATCTTTAAAAAATATTATTTGCTGGATTATTCCTATAATATTTAAAAGAGATTACTTTTTAGTTCTCTCCCCTCAAAGAGCATAGATGTAATGAAACTCTAGAATCAAGGAGTGGCCTCTAGCATCCAAATCTTGGTTTCTAAACAGTTTCCTAGTATAAAAAACAGAGCATCTCAGGAAAAGGATTAATCCTAGGCCTAAGGCAGGGAAAGTACAGAATAAGCCTGAGACACCTTCCTGTGCCAGAAAACAAGAAAGTGCTTGAAAGGACAGAGAAACCAGCTTCAAGAAGCTCCCACTGGCCACACTTGCGACAATGTGAACATCAAAAAGAACAATGACAATGCCTGGTAACATACTCAATACATACATGTTGAAGAGTGTGCCTCTATAAACACACACACACACACACACAGACACACACACACACTCTCTCTCTCTCTCTCTCTCTCTCACTCTCTCACTCTCCAGGTTTCTGAAGTAGGAAGCAAGGAGAAAAGGAAGGCCTCTTTATGAAACAATACCAGTTAATAAAAGTAGAAGGAATGAAAGAAGTAGAAAATCACCGTTTTATAACCTCCAAAGTAATCTTCAATTTCAGCCAAGGATCACCAGTGGATGATAAAGTCATTGGCTGAAAGGTTACTGGGGACTAGAATATTCAAGTGGACCCCAAATAATCACCCTACAGATGACTTAGTTATTAAGGGAAAAAAATCACTTTTACAATAAAGAGGTCGGTGGTCACCACATTAACCAAGGGGTCAGATGTACAATCAATAGTGGGACAAGCTCATTATATACCTCCTGGTGTGAGGGAACAAGAAGTATACAATATCACACAAGTATTACCCTTTATACATTCTAAATCTAATCACCAGGAGCAAGCAGAAAGCCAGAATGTAGACAACCGTATAAGACAAGTGGTCTGGATTCTACAAAACTAGCTAGCTATAAAGACATTTTAGGGAAAACTGAGGAAATTTAAGTATAGACTATAGATTATAGAGTGTTACAGATTTATTGTTAATTGTATTAGATATAAACGTGGTTACCATGGAAAAATGGTATGAAGGATGTATGTATGTAGGGCTAAAGTAAATGCGGATACATTTAGGGGTTAGGTGTTATGATACTGCATTTTCAACTCACTCAAAATAAATTTTATATATACAGAGAGAAAGGGAATGTGGCAAAATGTTAACTGTCAAATCTATGTGAAAGGTAAGTGTGTGCAAGTGTCTTTGTATTCACCAAATATTCAAGTCTTCTGGAAATTTGAAAATAAAAAAATGAGAAATGTTAAAAATTAAAAAGTAAGTCCATCGGGTCTTTCCAAATCTAACCTGTCTCCGCAGGGCCACCATGAGACTACAGCACCTGTAGTAGCCCAGATGGCCTTCAGGCCTGGTTCCCACAATCAGCCATGGCACTCCAAAGGCTGGTCAGACATCTTAGCCAAGGGGCTACTGACTCAAGGCCTGGGTGAGAATAACAGCATGGAAGACTGATGTACAACTCTGCAGCCTGGGGTAAGCACGCCAGGATTACAAGGGTGAAAGTCCAATCAACTTTTGAATCAGGTTCAAGCTGTCACTGGTATCATTTTCAAATATAAAAAGTACTAGTGGGACACCTGGGTGGCTCGGTGGGTTAAAGCCTCTGCCTTCAGCTCAGGTCATGATCCCAGGGTCCTGGGATCGAGCCCCCCATCTGGCTCTCTGCTCCGTGGAGAGCCTGCTTCCTCCTCTCTCTCTGCCTGCCTCTCTGCCTACTTGTGATCTCTGTCTGTCAGATAAATAAATAAAATCTTAAAAAAAAAAAATTACTAGAAACCTAGGTGACTAGTGAAAGAGTTCAAGAAAGCAATGAAAATGTAAAGAATTTCATCCCGCAGCAGATTTCTCATGAAAACTAAGACATACACGAGTCACGAGGAAGTTAATCAGTAGAACTTGAAAATAAGGCACTGACTGCAAAGGGTGTCTAGGTCTTACAGGCAATCTCCGTATTGACTTAAAAAAAAGTTAGTAAAGATTTTGGTAGAAATATTCTGAAATTTCCTGGAAGGATCAGGAAAAGTAGCACTGCCTTAAAAAACAAACAAACAAACAAAAAAACCTCAGCTAAGAAAAAACACATATTTACTAATTCATAATTCCTCACTATATTAGATGATAATGTTGATTTTATTTATTTTAGAAAGAATGTGCGATGCAGGGGGGGTGGGCAGGAGCAGAGGGAGAGGAAGCAGACGTGGCACTGACCGTGAGCATGACACAAGGCTCAATCTCATGACCCTGAGATCATGACCCGAGCCGAAACCAAGAGTCAGATGCTTAACCAACTAAGCCACCCAGGTACCGCAGGTGATAATAATAACCAACTACACTCTATTGTATTAACTATATTATGCTATATTATATACTCTATTACTAATTACTGACAGGGCATGTACAAGGTACTCTGCTATATCGTACCAACTATATTATATTTGTACCAAATTATAG